ACTATTTCTACTGATATGTGAAAAAAAGAAAGAAAAAAAAACCATTTCTACTAATGATGCTAGACCCTTATTTTGAGTTCAGATTCGTGAACCGCAATACTTTCGAGGAGGTGTAGTACGTTATACTTGTATCTATGATTCTTATCGATTATTTAAAAGATACAAAATATACTCATTCTGTATCACTTTAGATGATATTTAAGGATGTTGCACAAATATTAAGAAACCCAATAAATAATGTATTTTTTATATATTTTTTTACATTAAACAATCTCTTATTATTTTTAAAAAATTGATTTAACCAATCACATAAAATATTGCAGAATTCAAATATAGAAAAGCAAAAAACATTAAATTTGTACCTAGAAAAATGAAAACATCAACTAATTTAGTGCAAAAAAATTCCCTAAAAAATCAGCAATTATGATACGGAGGCAGTATAAATCTAGCATAATTCTAAAATATATATACTAGTCTACTAAAATAAAACAAATTTTGCTAAGAAATGTTTTGTGATATATTCATATTTTACCTCATTTCAATCACATTTCATTGTGTTTTTATCCCATATTTGCAAATCATTTAGGCATTTTAGGGGCATTTGCATCTCTTTTGTGCTTTTGTGGGTTTGAAGATGGTGAATTTTGGAACGAAATGATTTGGAGCTTAATTGGATGCAAAAAGATGGGAATTCATGAGGATATGGATGTGGCACAAGTTGGTAAAAAAGGAGTGTAATTGATGGCCAATAAGTGAAGAAATGAGAGAATGACAGCCTCCATATTGTGGCTTGACTCGGTATGGTTGGAAGAAGGAAAATGAAGCTTTTGGAGTCAAATTGACAGATCACATATTGTGGGTAGAAACCGAGGGTTGACCCCCGGTATGGGTGTTCCGAAAATAAAAATTTCATGACCCGACCCGGATCTAGATGGGTCGACCCGGTTCTATTTTCACATGATATAAATATGTTTTTAGACAAGAAAAAAACCTAAGTTTGATTTGCTCTTTACGCCTTTTAACTTTCAAACCATTTTCTTATGATTTGTGNTTGNATNTTTTGNATTTTCTTAATTTANTGAAGTTTCTCTTAATCTTTATNCTT